TAACCCTACCAACGTTTATCCTGGAACCTCGGTCCTTCCTGGACAAGTTGTCTGATTTCTACTACCATTCTTATATCTTGAAAAAGTAAGCCCTACAATACATTAAAATATGTTACAATACATTAAAATACATTACAATACTCTTAGGCTACGTTCATAATGTATGGCAGGGGGGTGGAGGTGGGGCAGGGGAATTCTTTAAATGACAAAAAAGACCCCCCTTGAAGTCCCCCCCAAAATAGCAATATTTTGGTTAAAGGACTGGTCAGAAAGTAAAGGAAAAGAGGGCCATGAAAACCAGGATGGTTGCCATGGTTTCCTTTTTTAAGCCTCAAATAAGCATTAGGTCATGGGAAAAAAAACCCTAGTTAGGGCTGGCTTCTCTTTTTTTAAAGACCTTATATAGGGGTGGATCATAATATTATTGGGTTTTACATTAGGGGTTGGTCACCGATTTTTCTTGTCTTTTGATAATTTAACACCCCCCCCCCCCCTTACTTTGTGATCAATCCCAAAGCTATCAATGTAAGTCATGTTGCCACGCATGTCTTTCTTTCTGGTATCTTGTCACAATTTCTTGATTAAGTAAAGTGAGTATTTTCCRAGCATGGCCACCATTGAAACATTTATTAGAATGTGTGACTCAGTTGCTTCTCTTGTTTCAGAGCTGCCAGTGAAGACCATGCATACAGCAGAATGAAAGAGGTGGTCAGGTGGTATCTGTCAGGATTCTACAAGAAACCAAAGGTGAGATGGGATCCCTGTGGAAAATGGATGGAAAAACACTGTTGAACCCGGATACTCTGGGAAACCCTAAAATTTCAAGATATGTAATCATTCGGAATATTTCTAGCAATAATTGATTGAAAAACTATGCTAGCATGCTAGCAATCACAAAAGCTGTTGCATTAAAGTGTGGTTTTCACTAGCCACATAAGCATAAGCATAAACACAGACATAAGCGTATCAAGCCCACTCACTTCTCTGTTGACATCTTCACTGTGACATAAGCACAAGCACAAGGATTAAAGCAATCTCCTATTTATGCTTCTGCTTGTGCTTATGTTGCCTTATGTCATAGTGAGGACGTGTTCTTGTACTTATGTTGCCTTATGTCATAGTGAGGACGTGTTCTTGTGCTTATGTTGCCTTATGTCATAGTGAGGACGTGTTCTTGTGCTTATGTTGCCTTATGTCATAGTGAGGACATGTTCTTATGGTTATGCTTATGTCATAGTGAAAACCACGCTTAAGTAATGATAAAAATTGCCTTGAGAATCGATAGTAGCCGTACAGCTTTAAAGCAATAAAAACGAATGCATAACACAATGCTTCTGTCAGAGGGATGTAAAAGGAGCACAGGGAACCCAATATCTTTTTTTGCTTACACTGTTGCATTAAACTCTGTTATTCTTTTATTCTCCCTTGCCACGAGGGTTTTCTTTGGGATCTCTGGTTTCCTCCCTCTGTAAAAATCAACATGTGAGTTGAGTGT